TTTTTTTTTATCAATTATTATCATTGTTCCTAATGTTTTTTGGATAATTTTTGCCTTCGAGAAATAGGATGATGACTGCTATTATTTTGACCCCACTATTTATTTATTTTTACTTTGCAATTCAATCACCTGGCAGTATACAGCCAAAACAACTTCCAGTCTTTTTTTGATGTTTTTTCATATTGACTAGAAATGAAACTTTATGGTTTTACATTTTGAGACACTCCCTTTTTCTGTTAAAAAAAGCTATTTTTTCTAACCCAAAATTATTAACACAATGAATGAATGAATGAATTACTGTGTATGGAACAAAATAAACATTTACATGGAATTTGATCTTTGTCATACCGTGGTTATGTCTTATCTTTCTTTTGATCACTGTGTTTTAATTTTACGAATTTGTCCAGGAAACAATGAGTTTTATTGTTATTTTACATGTTCGTGTAGATTTAATTTAAGTAGATTTTACTTATCAGCTAAAATAGCGAAATTAAAACCCAGTGAATAATTAATACATTTACGGTATTCACGGTAAGTTGAGGTTTTTTTTATGAGGGAAAAAATCTTGCAGAAGTCATTTACCACTGTTTTGAATATACAAAAGTTTCTACACATTTTGGGGCATAGCCTGGCTCACGAAATAAAGTGGGTTTACCTCCTAGATGAACTACAGCCCTACAGATGTTTACTTTGGTTGATAATGATCATTTTATAAATATTTGTGATGTTTAGAGAAGTGCTACACTGTACAAGATGGTACACATGTTAATCAGTTTGACCCTTGACTTCTTGTCATTCAGGCATTATATTCAAAGTGTGATTATATCTGACGACACACAATGGTGTTATTGTTTAGTTTTCTAATTCCATCATATCTCGTGGAGAGGTGCATGGAGAGGTCAAAAAACAAATTTGAGGAAAGTCTCTTCAGGAAGGTTAGGAAGTCTAATAGTGTTGTTTAAAGATACATCATCACTGCTCATGAATAATTAATCTTGACTTCCACTGTTGTTGACAAGCATCACTTCCTGACTGGCTGTTTGCAATAGAAATGATTGTGATTTTGCTGACTATAGATGATGTTCTGGGTGCAAAATTTATACACATGTAGTGTGAAATTAAAAAGATGTTTTTCATGTCATAAAATACTCGTGTGTTGTACAACAATGAATGTCACAGAAGGTGAGCATTCTTTGTGTTGTGTACTGTTGAACCATGCACTGTTTTGAATGGTGGATGGCAATCATTTGCCAACCTGGAAGTTTTGGTCACACGCTAGTTATTGATTGAGTTCTAGCGATTATAGATTCATATTTATTAACATATTAAAATTCAGCGTATTTCTAATTATTTAGTTTTAAATATTTATTTACTAATAACTTGTGCGTTGCAAGTACAGCACATTTTCCTTTATTCACTAATAACTCATAAGTTTCAAGAATCGTGTATCTCTAATTGACTCTTGTGTGCAAAGCACACACTGGGAGTCTTTGCAGTTAGTGTGTCTGTATGTGTACGTGTGTGTGTGTGTCTGTATGTGTGTGTGTGTGTGTGTCCATCTGTTCCACTGATATCTCAATAACCATATGATGGTTTTTGATGAAACTTGATGCATAGCTGAATCTTGAATCATTCTAACAGTCACCATAGCAACAATGCTTTGTAGTAACCAATAGTTCAATATTCATAAAAGTTTTAGGTTTTGGTACATATTTACGTTAATCCTACGAAGCAGTTGACTGCGTTCCAATATGGCGACTGTGCATGCACAACAAAAATTCTATTTATAGTTTCAAAAGGGAAACTGACCAATGCAATTGACAGATACCAGCAAATGCTATTTCAACATCTACTGAGCTGCTATTAAAGGTTCAAAATATTGACTGTACTCGCGAAATTCATCGGGCAATTCACAAGAAATGAAGTACAATTACTGTATTTGTTTCATATGAAATTATGTCAGTGAATTGATATACCGGTACCTTGATGGTTTGTAAAGGATGGACCACACCAGCGTGTAAATATGGTGACCAACTGCATGTTGCAGTTGTTTACTTGGTACATAGCTGTTATCATTTCAACTGAAGGTGTTAATGGTTTCAGCGACTAAACCGAGTGGAAAGTTATAATAAGATTGACATATATTTTGGACAACTTCTTACAAATTGATACCTGATAAAATACACTAAGAGGAGCATCGATCAGTTCTTCGCTTGAGTTATGCAAATGTCGACTATGTAAATATTTTCCCATGATGCAATGCGCTAAACACAGAACGAACCCCGCTATTATCATGACCAGCCAAGACCACGTAACATCTGCAAATAAACTAATCTAGGGCATACCTACAGCTTGGTTCGTCTTGGGTTGAAAACCATCCATTTTCTCTTCTGGTAACTGACCTAGTTCACCTATGTTTCCGCTGAAAAAGTTTACAAGCCTTGTAACTGCGAACGTCTTTTTTTTTGCGCACATACACTAAAGAAGTTATTGGAAACTACTGTCTGAATCATGCTTTCCCGTAGTTTTTACATGGAAATCACACCGAGATTGCTCCAAACTTGTAAATTAACATCAAAATTGTATCGTGGATATATTCATGTTTGTGTATGACATCAAAATTAAGCACCACGGGCATTGATTGTTTTTGCAGAGCACCCTGAAGCGATGTTTCACGAAGCGATGTTTCACGAAGCAATGTTTCACGCTTCAGTGTTATTTTTCATACTGAAAACAGACAGCCATCTTTCCTTTTATATATCTGGACCTGCGGTTTAACAACATCCGTTGAAACGTTCTCCATTGTTGCCTCTCTCTTGCCATATTTAGGTCCCTTTTTGCCAATATACTGTTCTCACTTTAATAGTTACACTGGTGCTTATCCCATTCAGATTAGGGGGGCTTAAACTCTGTCATATTTAAGTCCCTTTAAGCCCCAATGTTTTTTTTTTACGCCTGTTGTAAGTTGCAATGGATTACAGGTACAAATGTACACAAAAAAACAGATTGGAACACGAGGATTGCAAGCAAAGGAATTGACCTTTGACTTCTTGTCATTATATTCAAAGTGTGATTTTATCTTACAACACAATGATGTTATTGTTTACTTTTCAAATCCCATCATATCTCATCTCTGCATGGAGTGCGTGGAAAGGTCAAAAAACAATTTAGGTTAAAGAAGTTAATCAACAGTTGCGTGCAATACTGTAAAACCATTTGTTTTCACTATTTTGATGTTTTGAGCATATTCACTGTGTTTTTATGAATTTGTCAAGGAAACGATGAGTTTTATTGTTATTTAACATGTTCATGTAGATTTAATTTAGCAGATTTACTTATCAGCGAAAATAGCGAAATTAAAACTTGGTGAATAATTTATGCATTTACAGTATAATATAAAATATAGTAGCTTTGTATTTTTTAAGTTCAAAGTAATATCTACACACATAAAATTAATCAGGTGTTCAATATAATGAATAAAGTTACTATTTATTTCAATGTATTTTCCTGAGATCTTTACCTTATTTTTACCTTACAGAATCAGTCTTTGTTTAGTTGTCATTGCAGGTGTTGCGAGAACACTGCCTTTGAAACATAGCTCCACAATTCTTGGGATTGCACCAGTGCATCATGGGAAATATAATTTGAAATGCGTACAGATTGTGTTATTAGAGATATTAACTCCATGTGCTAACATAATACGTACACCATATTCTTCCATGAAAGGACCTAGTGCCATTAATAAACCTGTGATTGACAGTCATTTGAAAGACTTGTATGACAACATGCCTTATTGTCAACTTTTAGATGAGACTTGGTGAACTAACGTCACAATGATATTCTACAAATAGTTATTACATTTTTACACAACACTCCCATCTGACACATTTCACAGTTATGACTTATGACTTGTCTTTTGACTGAATGACCTTTATCATGTATGTAGGTATCTCAATGTTGACATGTGATGTGGTTGTTATAGACTAACAAAGATAAGCTGGACAGCTAATAAATACAACTCTTGCATTTTACTACACTTGTTAAAAATCATGTATTCACAGTTTGAATTTACTTGTAATTTAAGACTCAAATAACTGGTCTAGGACTTAAATTTATGCTGTAATTAGACATGAGCAAAATGTGTGCTTGGTTTATAGAATTTGGTTAAAAAAATAGTGTCCTCCACTTGTATCTAAAATGGTGGGCTGCTATATGTATACATAAGGGGTACGCAAGCCAAGTATATTTGCAAGGTCTACAGAGTTATTGAGCAATTGTTGAATCTTGCTCTAATCCATGTTGATCAAAGATTAAAGCGGTTTACAGTACAAGTGGCTAAATACAATACAATCAATTTCACAAAAAAGCTCGCTAATTTCCTTGAAAAGAAAACATTTAATAAAAAATCAAACAATCAAATCAGTAACCTCTTTAAAATTCCAATAAGGGATTAATCGTGCAAGCTTATAACATTTTTTTGTTGTTGGTTTTTTACAGTCTAGGAGTTTAACTGTAGAAGAGATGGGTTATGAAAGTTACAACATTGAGATAGCCCAGAAATTGGCAGGATTTCATGGTATGGATTTACCACTATCAAAAGAACCAACATGGGTGATCAACATGTGTCACAGGTTTGTTTGTTTGAGTGTTTATTTCCTCCAGGTCACCACTGGAAAGTGAATTTCAGAATACAAAACAATAATGGCCACATCTAAATTAGCAAATATAGTAGTTAAATACATAGCAATACAGTAAATTTCATAAAGGCATGAAAGTGTTTTCATATGAAATAAATACAATTTCAAATGACTGTTACAAACAATAGATAGTAAATTGCTAATGATTGAAGAAACCATTAACATTCATGAGCAATGAACTTTACCAGATAGCTTCTATAACCAATGAAATCATGGGTTTTTTTTTCCAGAGTAAATGTGATATAAATATTTTATAAATTCCATAATAAAATATTCATGCCTTCATGAAATTCACTTTCTGTTTTGTATGAGCCAAACTGTTTTTTTGTTGTACCAAACTAACTGCACACCCAGCTATACACCTGCAAACACCACCTAGACAGCACAAAGGCTACACACATAAACAGTACCTAGACAGTTTCGAAGTACACATGTAAACAGCAGGCAGGTGATACATGTAGTTTTTACATATGTAAACAGCACCGAGACAACTGATACATGTGGGCTATACGCATGTAAACAGCACCTAGACAGCTGATACATGTAGGCTATGCACATGTAAACAGCACCAAGACAACTGATACATGTAGGCCTTACACATGTAAACAGCACCTAGACAGCTGATACATGTAGGCTATACACATGTAAACAGCACCTAGACAGCTGATACATGTAGGCTATACACATGTAAACAGCACCTAGACAGCTGATACATGTAGGCTATACACATGTAAACAGCACCTAGACAGCTGACACATGTAGGCTATACACATGTAAACATCACCTAGACAGCCGACACATGTAGGCCTTACAGATGTAAACAGCACCTAGACAGCTAATACATGTAGGCCTTACACATGTAAACAGCACCTATACAGCTGATACATGTAGGCTATACACATGTAAACAGCACCAAGACAGCTGACACATGTAGGCTATACACATGTAAACAGCACCAAGACAGATGATACATGTAGACCTTAT